AACAACAACAACAACCTATAAAGAAAAGGAAACAACAATAATAAAAGTCAGGACTTCATGATCAGGAAAAGGCATAAGAGGGACTTTTGGGGTGCTGCAATGTTTTATTCTTGACCTGGACAGTGATCATAAAAGTGTTTGCTTTATAATTATCCATAAACTATAGATTTATGTTTTTTGCACTTTTCTATATGTATAGCATAGCTCACAACAAAACTACATGTAAAAAATTTATGACAGAAGGACTCATATTGTATTAGTTCATTATTGAAAAAGTCAAGGAAAGGTTTATATATGGAAGGAAACTTTCTTTGTTGGTTACCAGGGGTGGGAGGGGAGGGAGGGGAACACTGCAAAAAATTTTTTTAAATAAAATAAAAAAGAACAGCAGAAAAAAAAATTATGTGACAAACTTGTTCAATGTGAAAGAGCCCTGGTAGCACAGTGGTTAAGTGCTCAGTTGGTAACTGAAGATGGTGGTTCCAACCCACCAGCTGCTCCATGGGAGACAGATGTGGCAGTCTGCAAATTCTACGGGGGAAGTTCTACTCTGTCCTACAGAGTTGCTGAGTCCAAATTGACTTAACAGCAGTAAGGGTCCAATGTCATATGGTCAGTATATGACAAGACTTAGGGTATATTAGGTTCTTTATACTAGGCTTCTCAAACTTTAATAGGCATTCAAATCACCTGGGATCTTGTTAAAGTAAAGATTCTGATTTAGTAGATCTGGGGTGGGATCTGAGATTCTGTATTTGTAACAAGCTTCCCAGTCATGCTAATGCTGTAGCTGTAGTCCAAGAACCACCCTTACCACCCTGCTTGATCCTTTCCCGTCTGTTTGCTTCTGTTTGCTTCTTCACCGTCTCCCTCCCCTCATCTGATCTTGGGTGTGGCCCAACATTTAACTAGTCACTTCACATCAGCCCTCCACATCTTTTTATCCTCTCCATCCTCAATTCCCCAATCCTAAAGACTCCTCACCTCAATCTCTCAAGATTATGATTCTGCTTAGAATAGCAGCTTTTTTAAATTAAATTTTTTTTTTTTTTAAATTAAAAAAAGACACCTCATAAATTGTGGCACATTTATACAATGAAGTATTATGAAGCTCTTAAAAAGAATGTAGTAATGTAAGTGATCGCCACGTTATTAAATGAAAAAGCAAAGTGCAGAATAACAACAATGTGAAGGAAGATTGAGCAATTTACTTCTGTAGTGATACCCCCTTGGAAACCCAAGGAGAGGTTGCTATGAGTCGGATCTGACTCAACAGCAGTTGAGTTTTTTATTTGTAAAACTGAAAGGGGGAGTGGGCACAGTTATACACATACACGCAAATGCTAGTATGGATACCCAAGAAATTACACATAGCGCTTGCCACTGCGGAGAGGAAAATGAAGATTTAGGATCAGGAGTAGGGACTTTTCACTTTAGAGGCAGTCTCCAATTACGAATGAGATCTGTTCTTAAGTATGTCTTTAAGTTGAATTTGTAGGTTAAGTCCAAACAGGTAGATTTGGTTCTAATTTAGCCTTACTTTGGAAAGGCTCAAAGCCTTTTCAATGATTTAGAAGTTGCATATGCAGCAAGTGAAGGTGACTGTGATGAAGAATTTGTTTAGAGTAGGGCTGGTTCAACCGTTTCAAAGTGAGGGCAAATTTATTTTTATAAAGGGCAAGCAGGAGTTGTTTGTAAGTCAGACTTTCTTGTAACCCAGGGACTTACTGTATACACTTTTGTAATTTGAATTTTTCATCAAGTGCAAGCATTATTATTAAGTGCAAAATAAAAAAGTTCCCTCAATGTACATCCAGGTTTGGGGCCACTGCCCTAGCTGACTGCAACTATGTCCCTATCTCTCTAATGTGTATCTATACCACTCTCAACCTTAATTAAAATCTGTGGTTTTCTAATGCCTTTCATGAATTCCCATGCCTTAAAGTTCAGTTTCTCTTTCCCATTGCCTTTCCCTGATTTTCTATAAATCACAATGGAGAAATGTTTGCAGCGGACACATGGACATCATCATCTGCCCATGCCACCCTTTGAGTCCGTATCCAAAAGTTCTCCTCCTCCTTATCAACAGTGTCCCTCATGGCCAAAGCCTCTTCTGCCCAGAGGTCTTCAACACAGTAAATACAACTGTCTCCACGGCTCCTGCTTCTGGGGTGTGTGTGTAGGGGGAATAGTGATGGAGGTTGTACAGTGAGGGCACAAATTTATGAAGCACTTGCAGTCAAAAGGTCAGACCACCTGCTCCTTTAGGATATCTCAGTGGCTACAAAAAGGTGTCAGAGAGACAATTAATTATTTTGCATATGGTTTGACTATCATAATTATACGTATGACTAAGAATTCTTTGCAGTTAAGAATACTTGTCAATGCCTGCCTCCTCTACTTCTCCACAGGATGCTCTATTTTCCTTCTTGATCCTCTCCACTTTACTTCGTCCTTTTTAATAAATATCCACTTGGCTCCAGGGGCCGTCCTCCACTGTACGGCACATACATAAGTCTTAACTCCAGGCGCGATTCTGTCAACCCTATACTCCCCAAACTTGCAGCTCTCTCCCCAGCCAGGTCGCAGAAAGCCCAGATAAGATGCTCCTCCCCTCTTGGGGTTTAGCCCAAAGGCTGCGAACGCGAGGACGTAGAGATGGCAATTCGAACGTAGTTGAGAAAGATTCTTCCCCAAGATTCCTAAGAAAGATGGTGGTGGGACCCAGGGTTACAGGTGGCAGCAGCATGGGGCCGGTCATTGCTAAGCGTTTAAGCTCATTTAGGAAAAGTTGATGGTGTGAGGCCACGCCCAGGCCAGAACCCCAGTGGACGTTGAGGCAGCCAACTGCTTGGTTCCTCAACCTTCGAACCCAACCTCCAGCACTCACCCCGGAATTACACCCTACGTCGAGCCCCAGGATCGGCTTCGTCTCAGGACTCTCGGGAGGGAAGAGCTGTCGAAGCAGCTCCGGGGGCAGGAGGCGGAGCCGCTGCTCTGGTGGGTGGAAGCGGGAGTATTGAGGGAAATTTCCAAATGGGGCGGCACCGGGTTCCAGAACTCGCGGTTCCTCCTCTTTTGCAGCCTCTTGGATGCCTCGGGTGGTCTGTTTCGTGGACGCCGCCATGAGTCTCATCTCCGCCTCTGAAAACCCGAGCAACCGGAAGCCGGGAATTTGCGCCTGGGCGAGCGCGGTCGCGGAGGCCAGTGCGCGTGCGCTAAATGGCAAAGTCCTCGAAACCGGATGGAGACGACTCCTGTGGATTACAGTAAAGGCTGACGTTGACTGAGAGCTCGCGATGTACAAGCATCCTGCTCATGAAGCGCGACGCTTGCACTATTTTATTGGGTCTTTACTACAGCGCTAAAAAGAGTTTAGTGATATTATCCATTTTACAGGTGAGGGAATATGCACAGAGAAGTCAAGTGACTTGTCCAAGTTTGAAACTCAGGATGCTTGAAGCAGAGCAGGAAGTTTGTCAAGGTCTTTGAATTCAATTGTGGTTTCCCTCCCTCCCTTTCGGATTGCATAAAGTGAGACCCAGAGAGAAGTTATTAGTCTAGGGCCACACAGTGAATCTGTGACAGGAACTTGAACCGGGTTCATCTTGGAAAGGGTAGCCAGGAACCACCAGACTTAGGAATGCTAGAAGCTCAGGCACCCCTGCCTGCCAGGAGTGACAGGTGGACGGGAGCAACTGTAGACTGAGTACCTTGACAGGCAAGGATTATGCCTTAAGGGCCATCATTTAAAGAGTGCTTTCTCGATGCCAGACTCTATTTGAAGCTCATTAGATTTGTTAACTCACTTAATCCTCTTCTGTCAGTAACGAACCATAATCATTATTATTATTGCTGTGTGCCTTTGAGTTGAAACCAACTCTCAGTGACCCTGTATGACAGAGTAGAATTGCCCCATAGGATTTCCTAGGTTGAACTCTTTACTGGAGCAGATCATCTGGTCTTTTCTCCTGTTAAATGGTTGGGAGCTTTGGTGGAGTAGTGCCTAAGGCATTTGACTGCTACCCAGAAGCCACTGAACCACCAGCCACTCCTTGGAAGGAAGACTGGGCATTCTATTTCCCTAGAGATACCGCCTTGGAAACTCAAGGAGGGGTCACTATGAGACTCAACAGCAGTGAGTTTGGTTTTGTTTTTTAAGCGCTTGATGGATTTGAACCTGCCCACCTTTGGGCTAGCAGCCAGCGTTTCGTCATTGTACTACTAGGGCTTCTTATCCTTTTTATATTGATGGGGACATTGAGGCACAGTGAAGTTAGTAACTTGCCCAAGATAGTTCCAAGATTCAGAGGATACTATCATTCCAATGGCAGTCTGATCCAAAGGGTATGCTTACAACTATCATGTTATTCTCAATCTTGAATTCCTTATGCCAAATATAATGCCTGATGCAAAGTTTCTCAATAACTCTTTGTTGAATTAACACTCAATAGAAGATTCAAGGGAGCAACTAAAGCCAGTTCTGGTTTGTGAAAACTAAAATAGGAGGGAGAAAAGAGCTGAACTGAAACAGACGTGGTAGATTGACATGGAGCTAAGATGTGGGCTAAGCCAGAAATGAGAAAAAACAGCTGGTAAGGCGAGTGATCAAAGGGGCACCCTAGCTACCAGGTTCAGGTCCGAAGCCACAGTGTCTTAGAATATCCAGCAGAAGGAGCCAAGGATCAGCAGAGTTGTGGCTAAGTAATCTTAAAGGGGCCTTCTGCTCCCACAAGGCCATCGATTTGTTGAACTTCCTCTAAGAGACTTCTTTTAGGCTGAATTCTCTAGAGAAGCAAAACCAGTGAAGCATATCTATCTATCTATCTATCTATCTATCTATCTATATATATAGAGAGAGCGAGCTCTGGTAGCATAGTGGCTAAGGCAGATGGGGCAATCTACTTCCGTAGTGATACTGCTTCAGAAACCCAAGGACGGTTCACTGTGAGTCGGGGCTGACTTGATGGCACATAAAAACAACATAGACAGACAGACAGACATAAAGAAAGAGATGTTTATCTCAAGGAAATGGCTCACATGTTTGTAGAAGCTGGCAAGTCCCAAGTCTGGGGTCAGTTAGGCTGGTGGCTTCTCCTGACTCACATAGCTGCAGGAGCTGATGAACCCAAGATGCAGGCTGCCGGCTGCAGAGGCTGATGAATCTAAGGTTGTCAGGTAAGATGGCAGGCTGCCGGCTCACAGTCTATGAAGGTAACAATCTCAAGATCAGCAGGCAGTATGGCAGGCCGCTGGTTCAAGTCCAAAGAACTGGAGGTCAGATGAGATGAGTCAGATGCAGAATCCAGATCAAGCAAAAAGCCAGAGAGCTTTTCCAGAATGCCCATATGCATTAGAAACAGGCCACAGTCCCAAGGAAACTCCCCTTCAACTGACTGGCTGCTCATTAGCGATCTCATCATGGAGGTAATTGCATTATGTCAGATCTCATCCTGGGGAACAACTACATCATAACTGCAAACCACTGAGAATCATGGCCCAACCAAATTGACGAACAACCATCACAGGACTGAAGTGCCATCAGAAGTTAAAATAGGCCCTGTCTCTTTTCCTCCCCTCTGTTCCATTTCTACCTGATCTGCCATTTTACTATTTACTTATAAGATTTAAAACCCCCAAAAACCCCCACTGCCATTGAGTTGATTCCAACTCATAACAATCCTGTAGGACAGAGTAGAACACATAGAGTTTCCAAGGTTGTAAATCCTTATAGAGACAGACTGCTTCATCTTTCTCCCACAGAGCAGCTGGTGGGTTCAAACCTGCTGGCATTTTGGTTAGCAGTCGTATGCTTTAACCATTGCACCACCACCAAAGGCACAGTGGAATTCAATAAACCACAGTATTCTGCACAACTTCCAGAAAAGGGAGGGAAAATCACAGTGCTATGTTTTGACAGATTTTGGTGAGTGACACTGACTCCTTTTGGAGCTGTAATTTTAAAGGAGCTAGAATCACTTCATTTTTGTGAACATGTTTGTTTAAACGTGGAATGTTTTTGCCAGCAAAGAGTTAATTTTATTGAGGACATAGACATGCTTTTGAATTATTGAAATGCTGTTCACTAGAAGAAAATAGGCAACAAGTCCAGATGGTGAGGGGCAGGTTCCTCCTGATCATGGATTTTATAGAGAGACTAGACATTTCCTTCTTTTCTTAGCTTGGTGGATCAAATTGGTTTTTTATTGTTTCATATTTTAGAAAAGTTCTTACAGGTTCACAACTTGTTGGCAATGTCATGTAAATTTTTGGTTTTGTTGTCAAATTGGGGAAATACTTTAATAAAGTTTTCTTCATCTATGAGCTATAACTGAGGAGCAAGGATGTCTCCTTGAGGACTAAGGTACGCCTGACACAAGCTATGATATTTCCAATCACCTTGTATGCATGTGAGAGCAGGACAATGAATAAGGAAGACCGAAGAAGAGTTGATGCTCTTGAGTTGTGCTGGCGAAGAATGCTGAAAGTGCCATGGACTACTAAAAGAACTAAGAGATTTGTTCTGGAGGAAGTGCACCCGAAATGCTCCTTGGAAGCGAGAATGGCCAGACTTCGTCTCACCTATTTTGGTCATGTTATCAGAAGGGGCCATTCCCTGGAGAAGGATGTCATGCTTGGTAGGGTGGAGGGTCGACGAAAGAGTGAGAGGCCTTCAACGAGATGGATTGACACAGTGGCTGCCATGTTTGGCTCAAATATAGCAGGGATCATGGAGCTGGTGTGGGATTGGGCGGTGTTTCATTCTGCTGTGCATGGGGTCGCTGTGAGTTGGAAATGACTCAACGGTACCTAACAACAACGTCATGAGCTATAAGATTTCAAATTGTTTTTGCTGAAACTAATTTTATATATACGCTTCAAATCTGACTATACTCACTAGCCAGCTTGTCTTTGAAAATCTCATTATAAATGTTGTATATGATGGTTTATAAAGGCTCTGATGGTGCATTGTCTAAAGCATTTGACTGCTAACCAGAAGGTTGGTGATTTAAACCCACCGACTTCTCTGTGGAAGGAAGACTGAGCAATCTACTTCCATAAAGATTTACCACCTTGGAAACCCAACGGGGGTAGCTATGAGTTGGAATCAACTCGATGGCATTGGGTTTTTTTTTTTTTTCTTTTTTTTTGGGGGGGGTATGATAGTTTCTATTATTTTTGTTGCAATCAATAATTTGTGTAAAATCATAAAAAATTAGTAGCAATTCTGACAAACTGTATTTTGTACAATCCCTATCAAAACAGAAAATTATGTAAGATGCAAATTATTTTGACTGGGTGTCAGTAAGGATAAAATTCTCTGCTTACATTTAGCATACCTGGTAAATGGCAGAATTTTCTTCAGGTTAGCTTCTGGCTTTATACATTTTCAAACCTTGCTTCACCTTGACTCCCATTATAAAATGATAGAGGTATAATGACCAGAATAAGCCCAAAGCTGATCACTCTGAGGTGGAAGTCAGACATACCTCTACCCTCCAATTCTGACACCAGCCATCCCTCCTATGGCACTCTCTGCTTCTCTTCTGAGTTCAATAATGTATTGTAATGGCCACACAGAACTCACAGACAGTACTTACAGTTAAGAAGTTTATTAAGGAACAGGGTACAACTTGGGATCGAGATCAACAGGCTACAGCTCAAGATCAGAAAACATGCAGACAGTTTCCCTTCTTCAGTGCAGGACAGCTCTCTCAATTCCTCTCAACCATGCAGGCCTCCTCTTGGACTGCCATCTCTGCCTCTGAGCCCTTCCAGGCCTGTCGTAGTCTTCAGTGTTAAAGCCCTTGACCCATGTTACAGCTCTTTTAGGAAATTCCTTGCCTCCTCTTTCTCTCTACTTCTTCTGTCTTCTTTCTTCCCTCTGTTTCATTCTTACTGCTTCTTTCTAGACATGTTCTATCTGATAAAAAAATTCTCTATGGGGCTGGCTGCTTAAATTTACAAACTTTCTTATCAATTTCAAGGCATGGAACTCACACCGGAGCCACAAACTCACTAATCCTCTCTTGGTAGGTCACAGACACTTCGTTTGCATAGTGGGCTACAACTCATCTCATTTGCATATTCTATCGACTATTCTGTGCAAGGTATACACCAATCACA